CAGTGCCGATACTGAGTATTTGGGCGAGTACTCGTACTCTCCCAAATGCTCCGATACCGTCCCTGATACTGGACTTTCCGGTCAGAGGGAGATTTCCTCTGACCGGCAGTGCCGCAAGGGAATCTGTCTAATCAGGAAGCTGCGCGGCGGGTAACGACCCGCTGTTTGGCCGGCTCGGTGCTGACTGGTGTATAGTGCAAATATAGCCTAATATTATAGAACCATATTCTAGATTATAAAATGGCTGTTTCTGGCCTCAGTACTATCATTCTCCCATATACTATGTAGCCAAGTGGCAGAACGCCTCTTTTGGACCTGATATGTTTTCTACTTTTTTTCCAAGCAAGTGTAGCTGTTTTTGATTTGATCTGTAAAATAAAATTTAAACTTCACACATTCATCTACTGTATATATAAATGAAGTTCACATATGTGAGCTGTCTTACCTGGCAAAGGATTTCTAATTATGTTCAACCATGCTTGCAACCCAGACACCCTTGCCAGACATCACAGCCAGATCCTGGACCTCTGTGGGACTTCCCTGGCACCTATTTTTTTGTTCAGCAATACAGCTCGGTCTGGGCCTGACCCAGCCTATTACTGGGTAGTGAAGGAACACCAGCAAACTGGTGAGATCATGACTTTGCACCCTTAAGAAGCTTTCAATGCTAGGTGCTCTATGCACTGCAATGCAATGGAGCAACACCTGTCACAAGAAAATGCAGAGGCTGCCATTGATAATCTCGTAAACGTACTATTTACCTGGCTGTTATGCATATCCACTGAAGTGAAACAAGTGTATATTTTTTTTGTTTTGTTGTCGTCCTTGTATGTCTCTGTGTTCTCTTTCTGTTTCTCCTGTCATTGTTGTAATTCGCCTCCAGCGGAACCCGAGTAGTTGGGAGGCTATCCGCTCGAGTTGAGGGATGGTCCTCCTGGCTTGGGGTCCAAGTTAGGTTTCTTGGTTAATTGTTGAGAAAAGTAAGGTGGAAATGCATGCTGACCTCTAGTACAGATTGATGGTTTTATTGCACTATGTATGAGCAGAAGGGAATGGACATGCCGGGCTCGGCTGTGTGATGTATAAGCTGAATTTCTGTATATGTTTCATTATGCAGGGCCATGAGGTCCTACGTGTCACACTTCTGTACTATGTTGGTATGCTTATATAAATAAAGAATATAATAAAAAAAAAAAAAAAGAAACAAGTGTATAGAGTAGGAAAGTTAGGGAAACGTCAGAAGAAATGCTTATTCCAGGTCCCCGACACATAATAATAAAGTGATAGTAAAGCTAAAAGACTTTTAAGCTATTTCAAATGCTAATTAATTAAATCACTTACAACAAATGCTGCTTGTTCATGTTTAAAAGTTTGTTTCCTGCAGAATCAGCTGGTCCCCTGATCACTGGTCCTGATATCCTGTTTTGGGGTTGTTCCTTTCGCTTGCAGGGTCCTATGGAGCCACCCTTGTGTGTGCTAGAAAACTGTGTGTGTCTTCACACAGACACAGCAAGGAAAGACAAGTCCCTGCCACCTGCTCCTCCTTTTGCCAAACTAGTAGATGAACAGCTGCTGAGGACTGTGCTGTTCCTTGCACTGGAGAAGAAGTTTAGGGAAGCCAAGCTGAGAGAGCTGGAGCTGTTTAAAAACATGACGACTGTGAGTACTCGGACAAAAGATTGACAAAATACTTTGCTGGGCAATGCATAATTGTTTAATCTGGATTCATTATTTTAAAAAAATGTTTGAGAGTTTCATACTACTTTAGATCAAGAGGTCCAGCCCAGCAATTTGCATAGTAAGAAGGTGAGGTCGGCAGCATTCAGGTATCTCTCCTAACAAGTTTCCTTTAAAGGACAGGCAGTGTCGACTCCTCCCTCCAAAATTATATTGCCCCATGCTGAACTATGGGTGGTATGCCATGTCTAGAGAAGCTGAACTTCTCTTCCGAACTAGTCGTCCGATACAGCGGCAGATGAATGGACAAGGTCCCGCAAATAAGGATTAGTAGTAATTGACACAGCTTGCATGCTTCACTCCTTCAGTAACTCTATTTACCAAATAGTGAATTTCTGGCAACTCTTAAAAACTCTGTTGTGCACTTGTGTGTTTCATATAAACATTCCTGTTTATGGTGGAAATGAATCTGTGAGATGGATACATTGTTATATGGCGACAGCTGGATGTTTTTAGGATCAGAAATAGGAGCAAAGAACTCCTTTGATGTTACAGCCTCTCAACCTTACCAATAACTAACATGTTCCTGACTGAAACACAATTACATTGTTATGTACGGCTTTTTGTCATTTAAAATTTTAAGTTTTAATTCAGCAAATACAATAAGTTCAATTAAATTATCTTTTTACATAAGAGAGAGAGAGAGAGAGAGAGAGTTTGTGTGTGCGTATGTGTGTGTGTGTGTGTGTGTGTGTGTGTGTGTGTGTGTGTGTGTGTGTATTTTCCTTTTTGTACATGGCTGTGTCTCATTGAATGCATTATTTAGGTTTATTTAAAAAGTTTACATGTACAGACAATACACAGTCAACTTTAAAGTTGTATTAAAGTCAAAGGTTTTTAAGCTATTTCAAATGCTGATTAATGTTTTGGTTTCCTGCAGAATCAGATGATCCCCTGAGCACTGGCCCTGATTTCCTGTTTTAGGGGGGGCTCCTTTCCCATGCCGGGTCCTATGAAGCCCTTGTGTGTGCTAGTAAGCTGTCACAAACAGCTGAACAGCTGCTGGAGATTGATTTGTCCCTTGTGTTCTAAAGGTGCCCATACACCTTACGATTATCGTACGATAATCGTATGGGATCGACTTTTCGTACGATAATCGTAAGGTGGATGGGTAGTGTGCAATCGCCAGTACTGTACAATCGTACTTTTGTCTTTCCTGCATGTTCGGAAACTTCAGTCGATCGTACGATTTTCGCAAGGTTGGTGGCGTTTTCGTACGTCAAAAGTCGTACGATTAACACTGCTCATGCGCAAACATAAATACGTGCGGTCGATTACCGCAGTTCGCCCAGGTGTTTCTTTTAACTACCGCTGATTGAACCTTGCGATAATCGGGGCAGGATGGGGCCGCCGTACGACAATCGGACAAAAAGTTTTGTACGATAATTGTAAGGTGTATGGGCACCTGTATACTAGACAGGAAGTTGAGCTATGGTAAATCTACAAATCCCATGAGGCATTGCAAGACCCTGACGGCCACAGGCATGACTCACAGAGCCATGATGGAATCCGTGTTATCACCACAGCTGGAGTGCCAAGGTTGTCTACGTCTGGCTCAATGTCCATTTTCATCTTTGCAGAGCTATTTAAAAAAAAACAAAAAAACGCATGCCACCAATGTACACTGAATGAAAACATGAAGCAGACATATGCAGTTTGTGTATATGAACACATAAACTTACTTTTTTTGTCCTCTCTATCTCCTCATGGCTTCTTTTGAAATGGCCGCCTCTGTGCTCTGCAAGCAGTCTGTGTAAATGAATACTCTCTGAGCGCTCTCCACCCTATTCATTAGTCTTCATAATGGCAACCCTATCTGGACAATGTATTGTGACCTGGAGAGGCAGAGCTGGTGTGTAGTGATCTTGTAATGATTCACTGCGAGGGGGTCATCTGATTTACAATCCTTCCCCAGTGTCAGACTGAGTTTCCTGTGGAGAGAGAATTTTGTAGGACATGCAATGCGAGTCATGAAAATGTACACATATACATCATCACTTCACCTGCACACCTCCACAATAGGTACTAATCACACACAGGCTTTAAGCCTGAATTTGTGGTCAAAATTAAACATTTTTGTTTACATATATGATGCATCATTTTACCACTGACATTAACAGAGTAGTTTTTGTTCTCATTGTCCTCCTAATAACTTAGTTTTATTACCCGCTGATCCTGCATTTATGGCTATACTCTGGGCATATAAAAAAGACACAAATTGATGCAGCTTTGTAATCATTAATACATCATTATATTTATTTGTTTAATACAAACTGTATAAGCACCTAACTTTGAATTGGTATATCAGCCTCCTGCAGTCCTCGTATGGCTGGTATGTGAGAGGTAGAAGCAGAACAAGGAGACAGTTTTTGTGCTGTCAAGGGGCATATGGTAGGAAGAGAGAGCAGAGTGACTGAGGTGCTGCTTCTCCTTTCACTGTCCAGTCACCGGTTGGGGCAGGTCCAGGATGGTCTCAGAGGAAGTGAGTTGAATGATGTTGGCCTTCATCTAGCAGCAGAAAAAAGTACTGTGGTGCAGACCTCTTCATTTGAGGCTAGGTTCACACCGGCAGGACACCCGGGACGTGCGATCGTGTGCTAGTGCACACTGCGATTACAAGTACCTTTTTTTGCGACACACAATGCGCTGCCTTTTTTCTAGTCACGATCGTGATCACTTGCATGGGTGGAATCGTAGAGGGAAACTACGCATCCTGCCCGGCGCGACTGGGGTGCCATTAAAAAATAATGGCACCCACAGCGTGATCGGTTCACACCCTGGCGACTCCCAACCCCTCGGCAATCGTGCACAAAATTGAGCGGATTGCTGCGCGGTCAGGAGTCGCCTAGGTGTGTACTTAGCCTAAAGGTGAATATTGTAGCAAAAGCTGGATTTTATCTTTTAATTGGCTATTCATTTTAAGCCTTTTATTTTTGGCAGGAGTTCTGCTTTAACTAAGTGACAAAGAGATTAAAGCCTAACTCCAGCTAACAAGCAGTTACAGCAATATTTTGTTTTTCTTTTGGGGAAGAAAAGTTTAAACCAAATAAATGACAGTTTTAAGCATTTCCATCATTGCTATATGGTTTGCTGCAAGTGGAATACATAAAATTTGGAATTCATATACTGTATACTACCATTATACTGTAGGTATTAACCGTATTAAGTTACCAGAATGCAGTATTTTTCTCTACAGTGGTTAACAGTAACCCCTTAATCATTACATTTTGTCTCTCCGCAGCTCTTTATGGTGAAATCCACAGAACATGCCGCGTAGTCCCACTTCCAGTGAAGATGAGATGGCGCAGAGCTTTTCAGACTATTCAATGGAGTCCGAATCTGACAGCTCAAAAGAGGAGACTATCTATGACACCATCAGGGCAACGGCCGAGCGTCCAACCAGCAGGCTGGAGGATATTCAGACCAACACTATGGTCATCAGGATTGTAATCCCAGACCTGCAGCAAACAGTAAGTGCTAGTTAAGAAGAAGACTCCTATATTGTCTAATAGGCTCTGTGTGGCAAGAGGTGTATAGATTCTAACAAATGCTTTGGCAGCACTTAAGTATGATGTATCTCTATACCAATGGCCACCCTAGAGATCCGTCATCTCCACTGTGGCAACCAATCATTATTTGGTGACTTCAGTCACACTAAACGGAGCTAATTTACTAAAAGAAATAACACTGAACAAAGAAATTTGGACCAAAAACTGCTAGTTGTTATTACTATCAAAAGACATTTGATCCACGGGATAATTATATTCCCTTAAAGTGACACTAAACTCAGGAGTTAAACCTTAAAAACGCATTTAAGGACCTTTAACGATTAACAAAAGTGTATCTTATTTGTGTATCACTCAGCTGTAGATCCTCAAATCATCTCTGAACTGGGGCCGACACTGTCCTTCCTTCTGGAGGGTGGCTACTTTTGTTCCCCATGGTCCCTGTGTGTGTTGTAAAGTAGCCACCGCTCCAAGCTCGCTCCTGTGATGGACTACAATCTCAATACAAATGAGTAAACTAAACATGAGATTGTAGTCCATCACAGGAATGAGCTTGGAGGGGTGACTACTGTACACCACACACAGGGACCATGGGGAACAAAAGTAGCCCCCCTCCAGAAGGAAGGGCAGTGTCGGCACCAGTTCAGAGATGATTTGAGGATCTACAGCCGGGTGATACACAAATAAGATACATTATTGTTAATAGTTAGGTACTTGAATGCATTTTTAAGATTTAACTTCTGCGTTTAGCATCACTTTAAGAAAGCTCACCTGCCTACCTATATCTCTGGATAAACTGATTGCTCTGACATGCTGTTTTCACTGTAGGTAACCCCTGAAGAGTCCTCCTTTTCTTATGATTGCTCAGTTTGAATATCCCAGGTTTTTAAGTATTACTCATATCCTTCCTCAAGCTATCACTTTCAACAGTACCTATGGATAGAGGCTGTTGTAAGCTCTCTCTCTCTCTCTCCTTTTTTTTTTTTTGCACTCTCTCTCTCCTGTCACAGTGCTCTATCTCTAGCTGCGAAGCTCTTTGCAAAAATCACCTTTACTTTCAGAAGTCTGGCCGTCTTCTGTCATCCTGATTACAATAATATCATCTCTCCTTTTTCAATTTGCTGGTGTTCTGCTTCAAATGCCACTTTATGCAATGGCGTATCTCCCTTATATCAATCTGTTTAGACAGTATGGGCATTTGTCGACTTGGCAGAAGCTTATCTCTTCAGTAGGACACAAGTTAAATCAAATGCAGTTTCAATTCATAAAGTACAGTATATAGGATGTTTTTACTGTCTTTTCAGGTGTAAGAACACAATGACTTTCTATGCCCTGTCTATGCGAAACAAAAACTATCACGAAGAACATGAGAGAAGCAGGAAGGGTATAACTATATACTATACTAACTAGCACAAAACAAGATGGGAAGCAAAGGAACATGCCAAGAATACAAATAAACAAGTTGCTGTGGCACTACACTACCATCAGTAGATACACAATATTAATAACATAATGCAAAACAAAGCAATACAAATAGACAATGACTATTTTTTATTTAGTTCTATGGTGGTAAAAATGATCTGCAAAACATTCAATTAAACGATGCCTATTGAAAGGAACATGCCTCATTGACCTCTCTGGTCCTCTTTGCTTTTGCACAGACTCTCCAGCTGTAGTATAGGTATTCACCAAAAAGTACTGATGAGCAAAGTTCAAACACAAGGGGGAATTTATCAAAACTGAAGCAGACAAAAAACTGGAGCAGCTGGGCAACCAATCAGCATCTATTTTTAGTTTGCTCAGCTAAGATTTGAAAATGAAAAGAAGAAGCCGATTGGTTACTATGCACAGCTGCTCCCGTTTTGATAAATTCCCCTCACAGTGTTTATTCATGCTTTCTGTTTCAGTCTCAGAATTGTACTGAGAAACATAGACTAATGCGCTTACTTCTCTAACAAAAAAAAAAAACCCTGAATTTTACTTGGTATCAGCCTCCTAATATTGCTCGCACAGAAGAGTTCACAATGGAAGAGGGAGAAGCAGATCTGAGAATGGAAGTGGGAGAAGCAGATCTGAGAATGGAAGTGGGAGAAGCAGCACAATTTGCCATGCAGTGTTCATGTGCTAACAAGGAACATGACAGGAGGAGGGAGCAGAGTGACAGAGAGATGAGCTCAGCTCATCAGTCTGCTGCTTCTGCTTTCACTGTCCTGTCACAAGCTGCGGGAGGGACAAGACTTGTTAGTGTTGCATACCTGCAGCAGAGAAAAAGAGTCAGAAAGGGTTTTGCTGTGTAATGGAGCTGTTTAAATATCAGAACAAATCCTTTGACAGTTAATACTGCTCCCATAAATGTATTTAATCTGGGTAGTTAGGTGTTTACCTGGAGTTCAAGTTTAGAATGTAATGCCACTTATTTTGTTAATCCTCCTCCCTCCAACAGTCTGCCCCACTTCCTGCCCCAACCCCAGGTGGACTGTTGCAACAGGGAGGTGGCGTGGGAGCATGAATGGGTAAGTGTACTTTGCTGGAGTTTGCCGAGAAAAACCTGAAGCAGGCAGTTCAGTCCCCCCTGCTCAAATATCAGGCCAGGTGTAAACTTGGGCGATCCCGGGACCGTGCAATCGTGTGCGGTTGCACATAGTGGTTGCTGTGGGGCCCCATTGATTTCAATGGGGATTCACCCGTGCGGTAATCGCTGAAAAAAGGTACATGTATCTTTGTTTGTGACATGCACCGCGCGACTGGGGTGCAATTCCAAAACAATGGCACCGCAAGCGATCAGCGGTTTAATGCGCGATTGCTGCGCGGTCATGGATCAAGCATGAACCTGGCCTCAGACCCTGTTCTGGCAGACTTTTCAGCTCAGAGTGATTCACATGTAAGAGTAACTATTTCATAAATTGCCTGCATGCAGTGGCTTAACCGTATCTACACAGCAGAAGGAAGGAGGAGGCGGTATTGTTCAGCCCATGGGACACAATCAGAATGTGTTTAGACAGATTTTCACTTCTAAAGTCTAATAACATAAATTGGGTTACGTAGGGGAGTGTAGGACAGAGCTACCGGCAAATTGCATTTTTTTCAGTGAGGGGGCGGGTTAATGCACTGTTGAGACATAAAAGAAATAACATATGTTTGCGGCTCTCTCTTTAAAAGAAACATATAATTGTAGTTGCTGCAGTGAACAAATGGCTTAATCTGCAGGATCAGAATCAGATAAATGCAATTTTCTTCTGCCAGCTAGTAAACTGACTTGGAAGGCGGAATGCTTCTGTTGGGTACACTGATATATTTTGGTTGCTCAGGACCTTGGGGTGATGCTCAGAGGTTATCTAAATTGCCTGCTCAATATAGCCAGACAGGATCATGGGAAAAAGGTTAAAATTTCAGTTCATGATATTGTTTCATTGTTCCTTGGATAGTGTAGCGCTCACCCCTGAAGGAGCCACTGGAATACTCAGGGTCCTCCTAGTCAGTCTAGGGATTGTAACAGCATGACTGCCCCAATAGCACTTACCGCCCATCTGTGGCGACTGATAAACTGAGATCCAGACTGTAGATATGATGCAGAAGACATTTTTATTGTAGAACTCAGGGTGAGAGGGTTAGGGCACAGGACATTCAGGATAGTGTAGACTCCTTTACGTTCAAAAACAAAGTACTTGCTGCCATCACAGATATAGGACCTTCAAGCCAATTGTGGTGATCTGTATTTTGAGCTCCTGGTTATGCAGTACTTGGATCAAAAGTTACTAGTCCATTTAGGAACAGACTCTCAAGTTACAACAGAGGGTCACTTCTCAAGCTCCCCACACCTGGTAAAGTTACTCTGTCATCTTCATCTTCAGTATCGGTCACTGGGCCCCTGACTCAGACCGCCGTGTAAGTGTATGGCTTGGCCTCCAAGGCTTTAGGCCCAGCCAAATCATTTAGTCCATAGCAGCCTCCCCAAAGGCCAGAGCCCGGGGGAGAAAGAGAGCCTCACATGGTCAACTCCGAATATTTATGTCCTCTCCCAGCATGCACCACTGGCCATGAACCTGCTAGTGATTGGCCAGGGAGACCTAGATATTCATAACACCCTATTATTAGTTGCTCTGCTCTGTGGTTAGGATATACCTAGCAGTAGGCGGATGTAAATGAAAAAACAGATTGCTTAGGGTAAACCAAATGAGCATAGATTATTAGATCAGTATTGAACCCTACGGACTAAGACTGGGATCCCATTAAAGTTCATGTGCGTGTAAAGGCCGGCGTCCCAATACTTTTGGCAATAGGGTGTGTATATATTTATATATAAACACACAACCATATTGCACTTACTGCAGTCATTCTGAAGAAAAAGTAGTTTCCCCAAAGAATTAAAATCAGACACCCACTATGAACAAAGTCATTCTTGCATGATATAAGGCAACATGCTTTTATAATCTAGTTACAGATGCAAGCTTATTTTACCCTTGTGTTGATCTGTCACTTTCACACAATAGCGTTGACATGTCACTGTCACAGCTTGCATTCAACATGCCCATAAAGCAGTATCCCCATCTTCCTCCTCTGTGGAATAGCTGTAGCGTATACCCTGAGTATGTTTTTATTAAACTGTATCAGTTGTCTCCACAGGGGAATTAATTGTATCCAGTAAATAAGTGTCTATCAGGTAATGTGCAAAGTTACCTTCACAGCTCAAAAAAAAAAAAGATACATTTTATTCAGAATGTGTCTAAATCCTTTTAATATTTTGAAAGTGGAAGGCTACCCTTTGCAGAACCACTGTTAGGTGGTTCTCACTCAAGGGTTTTAATAGAGAAGGAATGCAACACAAATGAGTTGGCTCTGACTTTTTATGAGTCTTGAATACTTCAATAGTGAGACCTACTGTCCATAATTACAGACTCTATTTCTGTCCACCCGGAATTTTGGGTGTTTCCACTGATCTTTGTGTGCACCAGCTCTTCCTGTGACATTATCTAATATAATATAAAATAAATCCAGCAGGAATATTTGGAGCCCCTCATAATAGGCCCAGCAGGTTTGTAGACTGGGTAACCTAAAGCTGCCCATACACTCTTATATTTTCTTTATTCAACCTCCAGGTTGAATGAAGAAAATAGAACAGATTCATCCATCCACGCTTATGAATGGAGGAATCTCCCGCTGTTTTTCATTATATTCGCTGGCCACAGTCAGAATACCCGAACGGAGCTTGCAACTGATTGGCCTGTTCGGCCAAAGTTTTTCCAACCAGTTCTTTTGATCTGCTGATCAAGGGATGCTGGCCGGAAGGGTACTAGCAGCGGCACTTACTGTGTGAATTTCAGCAGGATCATCAAGAACCAGACAAAATTCTCGTAGTCTAAGGCCAGCTTAGTGCAGTTATGTCACCAAGTTCCTGAGAGACAGAAAAAACTGTCAGGTAATCTTACTCTGAACCAAAAAAAACAAAACAGTTTTTGGTTGAACGGACAGCTTAAAGGCTCACTGACTGCTTGTACCCATTCTCCATCCTGACTCGCTGTCACAGGAGGCTGGGCGGTGTGGGAGCGGAGCTCAGCCTCCTGTGACAGCAATGGCAGCTGTCTCTGCCCACACCGCCGCTCTCCCGATCTGTGACAGGAGGCTGAGCGGTGTAGGAGGAGAGACGCCGGCCGCTCACAGCGCTCTCTTCCCTCTGCGCTCTGCCTCCTGTGGCAGTTTCTCTCCTCCCCGCAGGGACACAGAACAGCACCCAGTGAGGAGGAGAGAAAGAACGGATGCACCGCTATATCGGTCAGAAAATGGCACTTTCGCCATTTTGCCAAAAGTGCCATTTTCGGCCAATATATCGGTGCATCCCTAGCAGATAGTACCAAAGCCTAAAAAATTATCCAAACATCTCAGGGTTTTGCTGTAAACGGCTGAGTGGGGAGCTAACAAGAAGGCTTTGTGTTTAATATAATTCAAATAGAACCCGAGATATCAGCGTTTTGTAATAATATATTTTGCTTGAAAATAAGGCATAGGAAGAACCATGGAATTCATGCGATCCTTTCATTTTCCCCTTTTGTTTTATGTTGAATATGTATAAGCTCTGTATGTTTGGAGTGCACTTGCGTTAGGATTACGAGAAGAAGCTCTGGAGAAATCTTGTATATTGTGTTGATCATTTTCATAGCGTTATTGATTCAGTAAAACTAGTATCAGCGGATGGATGGCTTCAGGGCTACACGAATCTGAAGAACATACATGCTAAGTCTCTGAGGCTTAACTAACGCATGTTAACTGTAAAAAAAGAAACTGCTGGGAGGACTGAATATATAATTAAAGAACAACATATGGCCAGCTTGTTTATTTTTACATGGGGAGTACACAGCAATTAAGCTATCCAGCAAACACCGCAACTGAGCTAATACAGAAAGGTCACTCAATTTACCTTAAAGTGTATGTCGGCTCTTAAGAATTAACTTTTTTCTTTTTGCTTCCTTTTGGTCTGTTAAATTTACCATTGAAGCCTTTTGTTATATCGGTTCCAAAAGTACATAATACACCTGTTTCTTCTACCAGAAATCCAGTGAGTATATAACTTTCTTTGTATACTGCACAGAATTCTTAAAAGGGAACTATGTGGTAACCTTTTTATCCCACAGTTCTCTTCATGGCTATTGCCCGCTACATACTGAGAGCACTGCAGCCGTGACGGATCCCGACAACACTGTCAAGATCCACCCAGCTGGCTGATTGACAGCGGGCTTTGCCTATCTAGAGACAGAGCCAGCTGTGCCTGCCCCTCCACCATCCGTTCCTCCAGTCAGCTCTGGAGGATTGGAGAGGAGAGGGGGAGCCCCTGTGGGGGAGCTGTGACTGACAGACACCATTCTCTGCACGGAGATGATCGGGAAGTGAGCGAGGGACAGTATGTGTTCCCAATCTATAGAGCCAACATGTGGCAGTTTCAATGTCACACGTCAGCTCCAACTATGGGGATAGTGAGTGTAAATCACTCACCTCATAGCTCTCCTTTAAAGCAATGTTATCAGCCCTGCCCAATTCACCGCTGTGACATACAAAACACCTCTCAAAATGAGATGGAGAGGAGGAGTGTTCCGTAGTCCAAATCAGGACCGAATAGCTAAGAGTGTCAGCACTATTCTTTTATGGATACAGTATAGTAATTGAGCGTTGTCACCCCAGGACAGCAAGTGTGTTACTAGTAGAATCATCAGGTGTAAGTAAAGAGGAAACCAGAGTGAACAATGAATCAATGCAGCCAACACATGTAAGAACCGGTAAGCTGAAATATAATATGTGTTTGTTTTTGGATTTAGATACACCTTAAAGACAACTCTTTGCCATCTATTATTATTCCATAATTGATCAATGGGTCCTAAGTCAGAAGAAAGCTTTGGAATTAAGCAAGTCCAAATCCGATCATCAATCATCAATGAAATCATTCTGCCACACACTACTATGCCTGATATATTTTGTGCAAAAGGTGAAGTTGCCCCATAAGCAATTCTCTTTATCTGTATTGCAGAAATGTGTCAGGTTTAACCCCAATGCCACCGTATGGGTAGCAAAGCAGAGGATCTTGTGTACCCTCAACCAGAGTCTAAAGGATGTCCTCAATTATGGCCTTTACCAACCGTACAGTAATGGAAGAGAAGGAAAGTTCCTTGATGAAGAACGGCTGCTGCGGGAATATCCTCAGCCTATGAGCAGAGGTGTGCCTTCCATGGAGGTATGCGCAGTGCACTGACACACATTATATATTCCTAAATTGTTCATATAGATGAGGTACGGGAACGCCTTTAGCTTGGTAGTTGGCACCCATGCATTTTTGGGTACTGGGTTCAGTTCCCTGCATCCAATGTCTGCACTAATAAACAATTACATATATTGAGCGTTTGCTGCACATAAAAAAAAAACTAAAAACCCACCATGACTATGTTCTCTTTATTCCTCCAAGAGTACATTACATACAAGCTTTATGTTTATATTGTTAATATTGTTAAAGTGGAACCTTCCTATTCCTTACGGCCAAGGAAGGTGCCATCTTAGCTTCTATTGGGATCGCAGTTGTCATGGTGCTGCATATGTGATCAGCTATGACACCATTTGAGGGATTGAAAGTTTGGTTAAGAGCTGACATAAGCACACTGGCAACCTTGACTGTTGACAAGCCTAGAGGGTTAGTTCATATCAGATGCAGTTGTGATGCAGTCCGTTCAGTTTGGCAGCTGCATTAAAAACGCGTCACAATTCTTTCCTATGTGATTTCTCGTGCTGTTTACACCAGTGCAATCAGTTCCGATGCATTACATACATTTTAGCTGCACCTGAACGCAACGGGACGCATCAAAAGCATGCAAATGCACTGGAGCGTATTGGACTGCATCTGAAAGCACATTTTAAGCCAAAAAAGCGTGAAAATCGCAGTAACAGTGTGGCAAAATGCATCGCAATGCAGCTGCGCAGACACACGCAGTTCTGATGCAGTCATGGTGTGAACTAGCCCTTAAAATAATAGTTTAGGGAGAGTTTAGTGGGTCAAATTCTGCTCTAGAAATATGAAAATAATTGTAATAATCAATATTGTTAATAAACTGTTATTTAATATTGTTAATGTCTGTGTTGTCATATTTTTTGGTGTTTCAGTTTCGTTATAAAAAGAGGCTGTACAAGCAATCCAGTATTGATGAGAAGCAGATTGCTAAACTGCACACCAAGGTATATTGAATATTCTTTAATTGGAAAAAAAATGTTGCATATTTTGCCATATGATGTACATTCTTTGCCACTTTAATTTTGCACTTAGTGTTATTTCTTCAACTCATGGGTTGTGACATCGCATACACTCACAGTGAGGCTAGGTCCACACCTAGGCGACACCTTACCGCACGGTCAGGAGTCGACAAGGTGTCAACCGATCGCGCTGTGGATGCCATTATTTTCTAATGGCATCCCAGTAGCGACAGGCGGATCACGCATCGTGTAACGCAAAAAGAAGGTACTTGCACCTTTTTTCTGCTATTGCCAGATGTCACCCCATTGAAATCAACCGGGCCGCGCGGCAATCACTGCCTGCATTATACAGGTCCGCACGATCCCGGGACGCGTGTCCCGGGTGTTGTGCGGTGTAATGCAGGTGTGCACCTGGCCTGAAGCTGAATGCATTGAGCTTCACTGCCCTAGAAACAATTTGTAACCTGGAGGTCTAAGAATAATGCCTATTTGTCTTAGGTTTCTAGCACAGGTATTTTACAAGATCTGCTTCTTGGCAGATTCCCATTAGGTCCTTGTCATACCTCTGTGTATGCATTATGCAGATTGAGAGAGGTACGTTCAACAACTCAGGGTTTCCATGGTGCAGATGTGCTTAAAGCGCATCTAATCCCAAAACCAAAAATGTTGTGGCTGCATAATTTTTTTTTTCTTTTTTCAAGCTCTTTTTCTTAATGGTCTTCTGGTGATTCAGCAAATAACAGGACAAAACTATAAACACCAGAGGTAGAGGGTTCTGTAGTCCTCAGAGAGAGCTGGGAACAATAGAGACAGAGAGCACAGGAAGATTGCAAGGCTTCTGGAAGTATCAATAGGTTTTTGTTTTTTGCAATAATGCTCGTTACAAACGTAACCATGCATTGTGGTAGCGTACAATAATGCGCGCGTTACCACGATGCACAAGTCTAAATCGGCTTGGTTTGATGTTTTTATAGGTGTTATACAACTGGGAGTCTTCTCGTGAGTCATGCAGGTGCACAGACTTGTGTTTGGAATTATATATAATTAGTTGGTGATTTATATTCCAGGCATTTTGGATGGAAGCCCAATTCAATAGTAAATGAACTAAAAAAAAATAACTTTGTTTTTATGGTCACATAATCCCTGTGCATCTTCATACAAATGGAATATTTTCATAAAAACATCTAGGCACATGTATTCGCTGCATATTCCAAGGCATTATAATGCTTGCTGGCAAATATTGCAGATGGTCTTGGGTTCATCTGTAGCAAATCTGACAAATGTGAAGTGAATGTGATTGTAGGTGAAAGGCAGTGTGGATCCTCTAGATACCCTACTGGACAGTTCAGAGTAGAGAATGTTTGGGTAGATCTTCTCAGTTTTATAACATTTACTGCTTTCCAAATATGTTGCATATATAAAAAACAGCCTAAGGGTGGGTTCACACCAAATGCATTGGGGTTGCGCTGGCTGTTTTTTTCTCTAGCGCAATGCAAGACAAGGCAATTTGCTTTGTCATGGATGGGCTCCGTTTACATCACCACAACACACAGATATGGCAGTGGGGTGCGCTAAAAAAGCTCTGCATGTGACGTACACCCGGCCCGAACCCCCCGCTGTACGTCCATCACGCGTGACTATACGCAGTTCTGAATAGAGCGAACCGTCACAAAGACGTGGCGATACCTTGCTCAGAGATTTCCCAGCTCCCCAGGCAACAATCTCAGGCCAGCAGACTGAGAGTGATCGTCACTAGGGTTGGTTAACTCTGCAATTAACCCTGTACACACCAAACATTAGCTGCCACCACGTGTTTTTTAATGGAAACACAGACCGATTCCAGCAAGCACTGTGACAATTCAAAACACTTAAAGCCTATGATACCGCTGACAGGAATATGACAAGTCTCACTGTACAATAGGCGCTCTTCACAGAGACAAGGATACTTTAAGTTTCTTATTTAGAGCGTAGAGATAAGCTTAACGATTTGTAAGAAACGGTGCAGAACAATATACAGAAAAAATATATTAAAGAGAGACAAAATATATAACAACCGTAAAATAAAAGGGAATAAAAAGAGAATACTTAACAGTCCTGGGTTTTTGAGTCCAGAGTTTAGTAAGCAAAAGATGGGTCTGAGTGGCTCTTCTCCAAGCAAGGTTTGCACAGATGATTTCCAGATACTAAAGGGGAACTCTTCTGGGATGTTACAAACTTCTTGATGTTGCAGGAGTTCCTGTCCTTGATGTTACAAACAAGAGCCTCTTCTATCTGGTCTCGGCAGCATCTTTTTGTCAGCCATCCCTCTAGGGGGTGTGATGGAGCCGGCCCCTATGCTAGGGCTGGGGAGTGTGAGGGCTAAGCCTTTATGATGTCCTCCTCTGCTCCTCCCCAAATTGTTAAATTTGATAACTAAGGGGATAATTGAATATTCATATCCAGTACTGTTTAACAAATTAAGATGCGTCATGACATTATCTTTAGATTGAGACCAAACTTGGCGGAGATCTGAATGAATGCGGGGCCAGGAGGGTAAATGTTGCCTGTAAGGCCGTTGACCATCGTAAACTATCCATTTCTGGTATGCATGTTCTCGTCTCGATGAGACACAGCTATTTCTGCCATTAATCTTACAATGTCACTTTACAATTCCAAGTTATAAAATTTGGTTGATAACGTAACTGTTTTTATGACTTATGGGTAACTTTGGAGGTCACCTGGGTCATTAGCCATACGAGGCCTGTGTGTTTATCTAAAACTTGTCAATTGCTAATTTATTAGGGGATTAACTGAGCTGGGCAAAACCATTGCCATGCATTAGCGGTTTACAACACTGCTCATAAAGGTATCACTTAAACTGATTAACGCCGGGTCCAGGGGGCACTCTAGACAACAATTGGTTTTAGTGCTTCACTTAAGAACTATAAAGAATACAAGCCCAGATTACAAGATCTGTTTTTTGGAATCTGAAGAGACCTTGCCAACCGAGGGCAACTTAAGGTCACCTAAACTAAATGAAAGGCTGCATTTGCATTGTGCTAGGAAACAAGAGAATGTCATATTTAATATTAATTGGCTGAAGCCTCGTTATCGTTACACTGCATGCAGTACTTTTGTTCAGCGCAGCGAGATGCGATGATGTAGAACTGCCTTGCACCATGCTGTGCCGTAGAACTTAATGAAATCTCACTTTAACGAAAATACACAAAAATACTTTTGCAGTCTGATTGCTGTATTCAGCATTCAACTTTCTTAAGGTGCCCACACACCTTGCGATAATCGTACGATAATCGTGGGAAATCCAGCGATCGTGCGATTATCGTAAGGTGTGTGGAAGCCGTGCGACCTCTACTACTGTAAGGTCGCACAACTTTTATCTTAGGAACATGTTCGAAAACCCGGCGAGAATCGTCCGATTTTCGGCGGGAGTGTAGAATGATCGTAAGATAAAAGCCGGACGGGCTGGCTGATCTAGGCATGCATGATAGGCTCTGATCCCTGTGCTTTGATTTAAAAAAAAAAGATCCCGATCTTCTGATCTCTGCTGCCTGTCTGCAAGTGGATCAGAGTCTGTTATTGAGCCTGTAATCCCCGTGCTCTCCCCCCTCATCCTCCTGGTTTCCCTCATCCCCCCCTCCCCCTCCCCCCCCCCTTGCTGTTACTTGCAGACAGGCAGCAGATCAGGACTTTTGTCTGCTCTGCCTAGCAACTGATGATGTGATGGGCGGGCCAAGGTACGTAATTATGACAGCCCGCCCATCAGCGTCATCAGTTGCTAGGCAGAGCAGACAAAGGTCCCGATCTGCCGATCTCTGCTGTTTGTTTTATCTCTGGAGAGATAAGGGAAACCAGGAGGGTGAGGGGGGAGAAGGGACAGGACACTGACATCCCGCATCTCCAGGTACGGAGCAAGCAGTGCAGGCTCAAGGGGCGGCTGCTTTGGGCCCCACAACAATAACTGGGCCCAGGGCAACTGACCCTTTTGCCCTGCGTTAAAGACGGGCCTGGTTGTAAGGTGTGTGCCCAGCCTTAGAATATAGAAAAAGATAACTAGAAATTATTCGAGTAACAAAATGTATAAGGTATTAACAGTAGCGTTTGGCTGGTGTACTGCAGAAGGCCTATGGGAATTGTAAGGAATATATTGGGTGTTATATATATTTGTATATATGTGCAGGGAATACATTCTTTTTCACTTTTAATATTGTACATCCATATTTCATATTTACTGTTCATATTTCTAGCTTACAGATAGTACTGTAAGCTCTTTTTCATATGTATACCAGGCTTACTTTAAAGAGATCCTGTCACTTCCCCATGCATGTGAGGATTAAGCTGGCATGTATTTAGCACCATAGAATACTGGTAGCTTCCTTTCCTTTTTTTAAATTTGAGCTTCCGGTAAATTGCTGACACTTCCCATCTCCTTCTACATTTGCTAGCAGCTCTACGTTCTAAACTGATTCCTCTGCACCCCTTCCCATGCCCCTGATGTCAAAGACATGTGTGATCTGCAGACAGAAAGTCATTCAGAGGACTGACTGTTTCCCTCTCCCCTTCCACCTCATTCAATATTCATACAGGTTCACATAGAGATCCACTTAGAGAAAGTCTCAATAGAAGTAGCTTCTGCTTGACTGTCTCTTTAAAATCCCTAGAGTACTCTGTAAAACTAGTATTAATGGTACACTTTCCATGAAAGTGACTCTAATCTACACCCAAATGTGTTGTTGCTTATGTTCCTGTAATGTTAAAAATTTTAATGATTTTGTATATGTCCTGTTTTTAATTACTTCATACCAGTGAAGCAGTGAGATGTATCCACATGCACTTTCTTTCCTAGGGTGACAATGCTTTTTTATTTCAGCTGCAGCATTGTTGCATCCCTTGGTTTGACTACCAGCAGCCATGCCAGTGCATATTCTGCCTTAATCACCACAGTAAAATTATGATGTTCTGCCACCGCTGGAGCATGTACACATCCACAGTTTATTTCTAAAAGAATCTATGTGTGCCACGTAGGGAGAGAAACATGAACAAAGTATGAACAAACATGTCAACAATGTATCTACGAAGTATTCTTCTCTGAGAGTTTAGTTCTACTTTGTTTATTTGTAAATAAAGAATTGTAGGCAAACAATTAAACAAATATGTTAGAAACTTGTAAACCTAACAACAAATGAAGATAAAACTTGCCAGAAACATTTTTAGTTACCCTTTAATTGGTCAACTATTGTCTTTTCAGGCTAATTTGAGGAAATTCATGGACTATATTCAGCACTGTTCTGTGGAAAAAATCTGCAAAATGTTAGATCGAGGGCTGGACCCGAATTACCACGATCCGGAGAGTGGCGGTAAGAAAACACAGCAAGCGTTGCTATAGTTTCTGTCTAGACCTCGGATTGGTTTCCACATTATTACAGTTATGAAAACCAAACAATAATTATATTATGTAGTGTTAATAAATATGACATTTGGATTAGATATCATTGGTTTAACTGCTAGCACATTTATATAGGACAGTGCAGCCTGCCTTTACATTATGCAAGACATTCTACTACCTCTTTATCAGCTGCTCCATTTTCATAAAGAAAACCTTCAGAAATGGACACCTATGGGCTCCACATACCGAATATATGAGCTCAGAAGCTTGTTTATTAAAGGATATATTTATCCTGTTATTTGTTGTCTTTGATGCATGTTCACAGTGCTTAGAAATGAAGCAACAGTGGCGTACTGTAAGCTAAATTTAAGTACAAGATCTGTTAATAAAAGTCCCATGATCTAAACAATTTTAGGAAATACAGGAAATTAAAAGAGAAATATTGGGAGAGTAAAATATATATTAGTCCTATACTGTATATGTCTGTCACCGCTCCCTGAAGGGATTCTCCCCTCCCCTACTTTTAGTTCATAACTGTCCAGGATATGTTCTGATTTCTAAACCGTATCCTAATTTGAGAGGTCTGCTCTTGGGCCCCGTTCACACCAGGGCGGTTCAGCCGCACAGATTTGGCCTCAGCGTGATCTGAACAGCCCCCCACCCAAATTTCTCCCTGACCCTTTTTTGCCGCGCTGATCAGTGCGGTTTCCATACAGCTTTTTTGGGCGGTTTTGGGCGTCTTTTATTGCGTTTCAGTGCTAAAACGCAATGAAAAACTCCCAAAACCTCCCTTTTGAAATCAGCACAGAAACCGCGCTGATCCGCAGCCGCCCTGGTGTGAATGGGCTTTTGCATTTATAGGCAGTTTTATCAGGAGTAACTACAATAAACTGTTTAAAGCCTAAATTCTTTAAATGCAACTTGTAATGGTGTCTCTCTGTTGCAGAAACACCGCTTACTTTGGCAGCACAGATGGACAACTCCTTAGATGTGATTAAAGCTGTTCGGAATGGCGGGGCTCACCTGGACTTTAGGAGCAAGGATGGAATGACAGCTCTGCACAAAGCAGCTCGAGCAAAGACACAAACCTCTCTTGTGGTATGTACTCTGCAGTAACAGATCTGTGTGTCTTCCAAATATAGTCCTTATAACTTTCACAAGAACAGCTACTGGCTTGTTCACCATCGGACAGTTGTGTTTATCCATATAACAAATATAGCATGCAGACACAGTTGTTTTAACAGAGAGAACAGGTATTACTGTGGTTAAATATTCAATATCATCATTAAATGAATAATAAAATATTACTTGTATAACTAGTTGAAATCTGTCTTTACCTTATTTTATCTGTGCAAAAGGGTTGTCTGCAATTTCTCTGACACCTACGTGTTCCTTTGGCCTATGAAAAAGCAGCTTTAAACTGCATTTAACTATGGTGTTCTTTGGTGTTGTTGTTGTGTGGGGTAGGGTGGCAAGGCAGAAGCCTTGAAAAACATCCAAGCCCAGCTACATTTTGTAAAAACTTTCATCAAGTCTGACAAAAGTATGTGGGAAAATGTGTTATGGTCCGATGAGTCCAAGATTAAACTTTTTGGCCATAATTCCAGAGAGTATGTTTGGTGTAAAAACAACTGCGCATCACCAAAATAACACCACACCCACAGTGGAAGCATTATGCTTTGGGGCTGTTTTTCTTCAGAAGGGTGGGCAAAGATTCCAAAGGCAAGATGTGCCATGCTGATAGACTCCTACCCCAAAAGACTGAATGCTGTCATAAAAACAATAAGGTGCTTCAACAAAGTATTTAATGGTGTGCATATTTATGCAACTACGTTATTGTAAGATTTTAATTTTTTTCCCCCTTTAAAGATTTCAGTTTGTTTTTAATTAAATTGCACAGATTATAGGCCACATTAAAGGTAAAAAAGAGATTCAGAAGAAGTGTTTTATTTTTGACATCTCAAAAACCTGACATTTTTTAGGGTGTGTAGGACTTCATATCCGCTGCATGTTAGCTGACTGTACTGTATGTTTTGGGGAATGCATTTAGGGCGCACCCTGTTAGTCAGTTAGCTGCCCGGTGTTTAGTTATTGGCTCGGACGAGAAGATGTCCTGAGTGTTTTATGCCTTGCTGGACTTGCTGTACAAAGCCCTCCAGCATTGAAACTGTGTTTGTTTGCTACCTTGCTGGGTAAGCGTAGGACAAATTAGCTTGGACTGTTCTGTGTGTCCCTGTGTCATGTATGCTTTACCGCTGTCAATATTAGTTGGGCATGCCCCTCTTACATTATATTTAAAGCTTAAAGGAGAACTATGAGATGAGTGCTTTTCACTCACCTCATAGCTCTAGCCGACCTGTGACAATGAGACTGTCATCTAAGGAGAACTATGGGGAAAAGCCCTAACCCCATAGTTCTCCTTTAAGTTAATTTCTTTGCTGGGACTTGGTTCCACTAAATATACTTTCTTATTGAACCTCAGATAAAAGTGCCTGCATGTTTTACACAGATAAGTCGTTCATCATAGCTGTTGCATTGAAACACAAAGACTTCATTTGAACACATATGAAAACCCAGCCTTTGACGTATATGTTTATGGAGCCTTTGTACAGTGTAACAGCTTTGGTTAAGGATTTATCAGTAACAAACATGTGTATGTACTTGGTGCTTTTATCTGAGGATCAGTAAAGCAGATTCATTCCCTGTTTCCATTAAACACGTGCGCAGAGGCAAGGTCTGCTAGTGCAGTGGAACATTAGAAGTGTGAAAGAAAAGGTTAGACAATAAAAGGTTGACTTTTAGTTTCTTCCCATTTATTGTGTGTATATAATAGAAATCTGTCTATCTTGATCTTTCTAATCATTATTTGTCAGATAATCTGCCCTATTACTGCTCTCATGGTAGTTTGTGCCCTGGAATGAGGCTAGGTTCCAATCTACTGACCCTCAGGTTGCAAGCTGTGTCGCTGAGCATTCTGGAAGCATTTCTCATCTGCTGGAATCAGGTGCCCCTCCAGGGTTTCTCGTGGCCTGAATTTAATTCGGCATATTTCTGCTCTTTACTGGGTCACCTGTCTTGAAATCTTCCATTAACTGCAATGTAGCTGGCAATATTCTGCATCGTAATATTCCCCTCTCCGAATTCACCATGTGAAAGAGAGGGAAATTGCATATTACCGGGGCTCTGAGCTCTTATCAGGCACATTATATGGCAGATAAGCCTGCCCGTGTCACATGATGGTCACTAAATGGTATCAATGTCCTCCTGCAATTATGTGTTCATTTAGGAGACCGAGGCACACTGATGGCTGAATTATTTTACCTTCTGATTCAACCTTTCTGTACACCGAATTATCATCGAGTTATCATTCCTTCTTTCCAATACACCATTTTTTGTAAAGATGAAATATTCAATTTAATTGTCCATCAAATGAAAATAAGAACCCATGATGTTGGCCTATTTCCATAGTTCAAAAACATCATTAGCTCTGTCTGTAACATAATTACTGTGATTTCTCTGATTTCATTATTCTGTTTAATTGCTTTTCTATCTTTTTGATGTTTCTTCATTTGCTTTGTCCTTCTGACTCCATTTACTGTCATATTTTATTGGGTGCCTTGGGGTATCTCGGCACTATGGAGTGCTATGCATAAGCTAACCTGTCAGGCTCAGTGCAGTCAAGCTACATTAACTTAATACCAGAATCTTCCTGTTAACAGTTTGAATGGTAAAAGTTAATTTTAAAGTATATATAAAACTAATCATAAAAATCTAAGTTTTTACATGTAAAGTAATTGCAAATATAATTTTACAATATTTTCTACATCTGCAGCTCTCATTAAAATAACACCTTGTGATCTTGCCAAGAAGGTCATTGAGTAAACACATTCTATTAGACAGTCCTCTGTCCCTTCTTTGCCTAATGAAGGGGATCCTGTGAGACCCCAAAATATTGTATTTAGTGTTTGAATATGCAACAAGTATGTGAATAAACAGACGTACTGGATTTGGCTTGGAGTGCCGGTGTCTATCTTTTCAATTGTATACTTTGACGGAAGCCACCAGCTGACACCTGATGCAGCGATTCTGAGTGCGATGGGTATACGGACTGTACCCAGTCCACTGTCCCTGTCTCCCAATATTTCTCCTTCATTATCACCTTTTACCATGCAGTCCTACAAGTGGCCATGCCGACACACACACATTGCAAAGGTGTAATTCACTGTTGTCACCGTCAGGAAGCCCACCCTTTGAAATCATGCACAGATGTTGTAGACAGGAATTGGCTGCAGGAGATCAGTAGTGCTGAGATGCAACAAAGGAAGAAATGCCATTCTCTTAGGGTTGACATATTCCTAATGCAAGGCACACATGTCCCTGTTAAATAGTGTATTTAGATAACAGGAAATAAGAGGAAATCTCTCCAGAGTGAACACAATTTCTAACTTAGGGAGTTATCATAGGTGTCTTAACTGTAGGATTTTCCCTCACCATTTGCACTAAAAGTGTAGATCTTCCATCACTTTCTGTCTAAGGACAAATAGGTGGATCTCCCAAGCATAGATGGCAATAAAAACCTTACAGGGCTTCTAAACTTTCCTCAATCTATCAAAACTAAACATATTTTTGTCTTTGCATACCCTTTAATGCAAGGCATACAAGTCCCAGTTGTTTATGATACACAACGATATTTGATATCAAGGGGTATACGATTTTATTAAAAAATTTGGGTTTGTGAGGTCCGATTTCTATTACTTTTAAATTACCGAGATCCCTGGATTGGATTAGTCCCATATTGGTCTTTATACAGAGGAGATATGGAGAATGCAATCCTTATCTATAGCCAGAGAAGGGAGTTTGTTCGCTCCTAGAACTGATTAGGTGCAAGGCATTGGATGTACATTTTAAATTATGACAGCTCAGTTCCTGCCTGCTAACAGTAGGGGCGATGCAGTACTATGGCAAGTTGATAAGTCTCCTAGATACTGCAGATAAAGCTCAGCCGATTGGAGGAAGAATGATGATGTAGAGCAGAACCTGGAATTATATGTAGGAGGGCTGGTATGTCAGCTAGGAAACAGGAACAGCATTGCGGCTATTGGTTGGTGGAGCAGTAGTTTCCCGAAGATGGAACTTGCTAAACTGAGGTCACATAACGTTACCCATGTATGTAAGTGCACATGCTTTTAGTATTTTTACTTAGTGGCACTAAACTCAGGAGTTAAATCTTAATACATTCAATTACCTTTAGCTATTAACAAAAATGTATCTTATTTGTGTGTCACTCGGCTGTAGATCCTCCAATCATCTCTGAATTCATCCTGACACTGTCCTTCCTTCTGGAGGGGGGCTACTTTTGTTCCCCATGGTCCCTGTGTGTGTTGTAAAGTAGCCACCGCTCCAAGCTCACTCTTGTGAGAGACTATAATTTTAATATAAAACATGACATTGTAGTCCATCATGGGAGCGAGCTTGAAACGGTGACTACTTTACAACACACACAGGAACCATGCACTGAAAATTAAAAAACAAAACTGAAAACGGACACATACTTTGCAAGGTTTGTTAACTATACAAGTATATAAAATCATTTATTTATTTTGTGGTGTGGAAGGGTGGCATTTAACGCTGAAATCACAAATATATGACTTTACCTTCAGTAGAACTCAAATCCCAACATGCTCTGCCAGCCTGTCTCTTATTGGTGGGCATACACATAGCTAAAGGGAACCAGGGCCTTAAATGCAGAGTTGAGCTATTGGAAGCAGCCTTGGAATATAAACTGTACAGCACAAGATTTCAGAGAGATTAAAAGATATCCATCAATTGAGTAGTATAGTGCTGCCATTGCCGACCTTCCTCTGAACTGCATGTGGCATAGATGTCATGCTGACCATCTTGCTTCGGTGCTTCTGAGTCACTGACCTGGAACTGGTATGCAGATTAGGAGTTCTGACTTCACTCTAATTTTACCTATTTCTTGAATTTTCTGGGTCAGTGACTCAGAAAGAATTGAACTCCAGAGACAGACAAGGATTGGATGTGTTTTGAAATATTATTAGAATTAAGCATATTGTAACGTGTGTTGTGATTATACATTTTAGGTAACTTTCTCTATGGCATTCAGATTCTTTGTGTGCTACAGTTCTTTCTTTACAATTTCAGTTAAAGTGTATAATTTTTTCAATGTCATGGAATATTCTCTTGTTGGTAGACCCTGCTGGAGTTGGGCGCATCCCCTGACTACAAGGACAGTCATGGCCTGACACCCCTCTACCACACGGCCATGGTTGGCGGAGACCCGTATTGCTGTGAGCTGCTGCTTCATGAACATGCCACTGTTGGCTGCAAAGATGAGAATGGCTGGCAGGAGATTCACCAGGTAAATTTAGGTGCTGGACTGTGTCTATCAAAATATAATATCAACGGAAACCGGGGAAATAGGTATTTATAGTGTAGCTTATGGCATGTCCTATTTGAGTCAATGTAAACGTCATTCAGAATTGAGGTTTTTTTGTTTTTTTTAATCTGGGCAGAGCAGTAATTCACCACTCCAACCCACAAACTTTAGGGAGAGAGTCCCAAAAATGCCAACTGCAAGAGAAAGGAATTTGCAGAAAACAGATTCAGGAGACCCATCCATCCCGCACATGATGACATCTCTGGAATCTGGCTGCGTGGCATTATATAGAGTTTAGATTAGGGTAATCTGAGTGAGTTGTTATGCTTAAAGTTCATCTAATCCTATGGTCACAATGGTCACTCACTGTAGTGTATCTATGCAGGAGCATTGTGGTCACCCTGGGGAGAAAGTGTGTTAAGAACTAAAGAACACCTCCCCTTCTCAAATTCTTCTTTTTATCATAGTGGAATGTATTCTGTAGTCCTCAGAAGTGAGCTGAGCACGGCTGATAATATTGTGTGAAAAAACACTTCAAGGTATACAGAATGACACTGGATTTCTGTCAGGATAAACAGAGGTTTTTTTTGTGTTTTTTTTTTTTTTTTTTTTTGTATAACAAAACTTTCAAAGGTATTTTTAGGTGACCAAAAGAGAGGTGTACATGCAGGGCCGGATTTAATCTCTCTGCTGCCCCAATGCCAGGTTCCTCATTGCGCCCCCCTACCTGCCGACCACTCCATGGAGAATGGCAGACCTGCAGGCTGCCTACAAGTGATCTCGGCGACATCGTACAATACAAGTGGCAGCTTTCCCGCTGTGCATTTAGCCCTTTTTGCCCAAAGCAGGGCTAAATGTAGAAAACAGCTACCTTCCCTGCGCCCGGAACTGCATGTCCCGAGCATCAGGAGATAGGAATTCCACAACCCTGCTGCCCCTCTACTTCCTGCTGCCCCAAGGCAGGGCCTTGGTTGGCCTTGTGGGAAATCCGGCCCTGTGTAGATACACTTTATCCACAGTTAGTGTTTGCCGGCTAGCCCTAATAATTCACCAATGGGTATCACTTTTCAGTAGCTAGTCTTACTTGCTGTCATGGGGAATAATAGCTCCAGGGCATCTGTAGTTGTGCTGTAATTTGACCCATGTACCAAGCTAAATACAGGGAGTAGGTTGGCCAGTTTTCTTCTAGATTTTTAGCATCCAGCTGAAAACTGGTAGATCTTGTGGGATATCATCACCTTTGTTTTTCTTTTAAGAAGGGTTAATACATTTTGGGTTACTTTTCTTCATTATAAGAGTTTGCTGATGAAATAAGTTGTGCACTTGTGACTGCTGTTGTCGTTGCTATCGCTGCTGTATTCAAACTAGTATGAACAACTTACAAATTGCAATGTATAATTCATTTCTCTGGCCTTTACATGCCCCCTTTGTCCTTAATTAGGTAGCACATCACATTAACAGATTGGTTCCTCATTATATGATACTTGGTGTGATAGTATACACTGCCCTCTACAATATCCCATCACACCATCAGTGATGTGCATGAGACTTCACATCATGTGTATTCATTCGATGATGGAGGGTCGCCAAAAAGGGCTGTTTGTGAATGCTGTGCTTTGAACAGCCTCATTAGAGAGTATTTGGCAAATATTGAATGGGAACGACTGACCAATCCTTTTCCTACTCTCATCTGCATAGCGTGGAGAAGATGTTCTCCAGGAAAGGATTATACTCATTCAAGTTACTTGCCAATTGGCTGGGGAGGAATCATTGATTTACAGTCTCTAGCTTTTTACAGCTGAAGTATAATCTCTGCTTATATTTTATCTTCCCTGGTTCCTCATCAACAAGCTAATGATTTTTTTAAATAAAACCTTTTCATTTTTATTACATACCTTATGTTAGATCCAATCACTGGGTCTCTGTGCTTTTCTTATACATTGCAGGTAGGTCACGGCTGGATTGGAGGGTCTGGCAGGGTGCTCTACATAACTTCCTGCAGTGATACCTCAGTTCTCCTTCAAGTGCTCCCAGGCCTGATGCAAGCAATGGCAGATTGCCTTAGGCAACACCCACGTGTGATGCTAAGCCTCCATGATTGAGCAAATGGAAATCCAATCTATGAAAGGGGTGGACAAAGGACAGTCAGATGGGGAGGGACGGGTGGACGTTGGGCATCCTTCAGCTGGGAAACAAAGCAGGCTCTATCTGACTTTCTGCAGCCTCTAATGTGAGAAGCTCACAATATGCAGTAAAATCAGGCTAAGCAATTTTCCAGGAGAGGAGCCTGTTCAGCTTTAAAGTGAAGCGGTGATTTGCCCATAAAGACCAATGCAACAGGTTTACTTAATTGCCCACACTCTGCTGCTTCTACTCGATTTCCCTTTTCTCCCTAGCTGTTTATGGGGGAGCAGTACCCTGGGTATCTGTACAGCTAATTGTTAGGTCCAAGGGTTGTCGCATGGGACCAGGAAGAAAGTAATTTGCTCTGTGTAAGCTATGTCCATCGACCTGAAGCTTTAAATGGCTCTTTTTTCTGGTGGGTGAGCAGAGCGGTAAGGGAGCTGCTTGCTTTTGAAATTGCCAATCCCTGATGTAACACACACAACACTGATGATAATGTTCAAAATGGTTCTGTCTGTTCTGATTACAGATGGGCTTGCATATGTTTTTGCAGTTATTAAGCTGTTACTGTTGCCAAGTGCCAAGAAAAGAATGTGACAGCTTGGAGTTCCTTAGTATGGCCCATTAACTTGTACGCTGGGCTCCATCTATGATGGTGTGATTCGATGCAAAGGATTTTTCCTAGCAATAAACATAACGAGACTGCTCTGAACGCTTTATGGTATCAGAGATCCTGGAAGATGGGATGTTTTGTTTCTTGGCAATGGATTTATTTGTAAACATGCTTCTGTATAGATTTATCTAGATAGAGATTTATCTAGTACATCAGGATTTGTCAGGCTCAGAGAGATGATTAGATAGTGGTTGTTATTGACCGTTCCATAAGAGACTCATAAACCAGTGAACTTAGGTCATTTTGGGAGATGCAGTGATCATTTTCCTTGCTCCCTTTACCTTTATTAGTCTTGATGAAAATTCTACTGAATATGGCTGGCCATGTACACAAGACATCACTCGCTAATGGGTTCATTTTCTCGCCAGGCCCACTGCCTGCTCTTGCGATCCATGTGTGTTTAACTAATAACGCTCAGTATAACCAACATTCACTCGTCTAGCTGTCATTTGATGCCCTAGTGTGATTGCTTGCCTTGTAGAAGAAGTGGCACATACCTGTATACAAACCCTAATCCTCTACTTAATGTGGCTATTGCTTTTTGGAGTACAATTTACAGCATCTACAACCTTGAAAGGGTCAGCCCACCCAAATGTGGCTCTCGGTTTTTTGTTGACATGGGTGAGTTAAACAATAAGTTGAGGTCTTCTACCAAAATCTACAGTGGCAAAAGCAGACGTCGAGTCCCCAGGTATGCACATCTTCCCTCATTGCAGGGGAATCCCGCACTTCATGCGGGATTGTGATTTTGTTTGTTTTTTTCTTTTTTGAGGATGTAGCAGGAGGAGTGGAAATACCACAGCATAGATGAGAACACCCAAAAATCCAAGGTAATCAGGAGTTTAAGGAACTTGGGCAAGAAGATCTCTCCACTAAAGTGACCAAGACATAAGAGACGCTTGGGGATGACTTATCCCTCTTGTCTCCAACTGTGACTGATATACCACTTTTGGGTTATCACATTGCCCCACATAATTTTATGTACACAAAATGTAGAAGCATTATGTACTTTATGTCTCCACTTATGCCACACCTCCACACAAAATCAAATAAAATTTTTTGATCTAGTTTGGGAATATTTTCTGTTGACAGTGATTTCATTCAGTTAATACTTCAATGAATACTTCTCACTGTTATATACTTCTCACTGTTACTGTTAAAAATATAAAAACTTTTGATTCTGTTACTCACATGGTAAGCACTGATGAAGATCAAACATTTTCAAGCTGCATGATGACTTCTTTTCAGTTTACCCTTCAGAAAACCAATATAAAGCAATCATGAGATTGCCCACACACAAAGTTATCATAGATTGCATGGGAATACCGAAATTGAATTATCAAACAAGCACATTGACATATGTGTGGGCACCACATGGGCAATAATATATGAAACTCTTTCATGCCTGACATCCTGTTAGATGAGAAGTCTCAAAAGAGCTTCTAGTGTAACAAACTAAGCATGCCAAGGAAACAAGAAAATGCTCTGTGTAAAAGAGGTGATCATAGCAGAGGAGGCGTTACTAAGGGGATCCAAAGCTGTGTGCCTACAGACTTCTGGCCCTAGCTGCAATGTATTTGTTATGCGTTACTGCACTTTCTTACAATGCGAGTCAGCCGTCTCATAATAAACATTGCTATCCTTGTGTGGCTTTTTTTTTTTATCTCAACACTAATAAAGAGTGAGGGTACATGTATTTGCATTTGGCCATTGAGAACCCCCTCTAATGGCTAATCTAAAGTCTCTCTTTATTTTTAATAAGATGACAAAAAATGTAGAAGCAAGCTTTTATAAAACATTAGTAATGTCAAAAGTTGCTTTAACCTGTTGCCAGTGGCCATATGCATATATGTGGCAGCACGATGGTGGGTGTACAGGGCTAGCGGTAAGGGTTAAAGTGGACTCTGTGGCCAGGTTATGGACATTTAAGTATTTACATATCCTTTACACGCTGTGAATGAGCTTAAGAACAAGTCCGTACTGACCTCTGTAGCTGCAGGTGCTATGGAGCAATTCATCCTCAGGGCCGGTGCACACCTAGGCAACTCCTGCCGCACGGTCACGGAGTCACCCAGCACAGACGATTGTGCTGTGGGTGCCATTATTTTCGAATGGCACCCTGGTCACGCCAGGTGGATCGCAAGAAAAAGGTCCATGTACCGTTTTTCTGTCTGCATTGTGCAGGACCGCGTGATCCCTGGACGCACATCCCGGATCGCTCAGGTCTGCACCGGGCCTTAAAGTTCACAAGAGAAGCAGTGAGGTCATCTTAAGTGGGATCTCTAAGCAACTATGTCTCTCTCTCTCTCTGCTTCCCTCTTCCTGTGCTCCTGCTCTGTGTTTACATTAAGAATCAGAAGGGAAGCTGGGAGGGTAAAGCAGATGCTTCTGTAAATATTGGAGATAAATTGCTCCACACTGGCTGCAGCTATAGATATCACTAAGGGGTTGTTTCTTGAATGTCCATAGCCTGACCACAGGTTTACTTTAAGGTAAACACTTCAGTATTCATTTAACATATGTGCTCACTAAGAAAAACTATGCTTTTCCCTTTGAAAAAAAGATGACATGCATGAAACATGTTGAGATGCTCACTGACTTGACTAACTAGCTCCAGAATTTGACATAAATTTGTCAACTGCTTTAAGAAGGACTTATCGGGTTCCTGAGCAGGAAAGTAAATCCTTCTGTAACATTCAGCATCTTCATAAAACATTTAGTGCCTGGCTAACCTTACCTCACTGAGCTTCTGATGCAGACGGTTCCCACACTGACTTTCTCTTTGTAACCGATAGATTAAGCAACTGAAACAAACTCTGTCTCCAGTTTCTCATTTGTGCAGCGCATTAGGGCTCTGGCAGCCTCTGCTGGTACACATGTCTTACAGCAAGGATTCGCTAGGTTGTTACTTAAATCAATTTGCTCCCAATCTTTTGGTTTTCTCCCAAGGTTCAAAGTAACATGATGGGTGTTTATATCTGTGATCTTTTTTTTTTTTTTTTTAAATGCAAGGTCTTTGCAGTCATTTTCTGCACTGATCTGGCTATTGGTGCATCAGTGTGGAAGGCAATAGGATTCGCTCTGATACACCTAGGTATGAAGCATATCTTGGGAAAAGGTCATCACCAGCTGTGATAAACAAATTAAACAATGTTCCGTTTATTTAATGTTCGCCGATCAATTAAAAAAAATAATTGTGAACCTCAAACATACTGCTTGAACCCTATTGAGAGATAAGGGTCAGGTATGGATTTTGAGGGGACCCCACTTTTTTTTGCTTGTTTTTTTTTATCTTTAAGTCATGTGGCTGGTATTGTTCAGAAGTGGGAGGGCCACACGTTCGATGCAAGCCCCTTTTTCCGCATGTCTGTATAAGGGTCTGGACCCCACACCCTACCACCTGTTTTGAACCATACTAGACCACATGCCCTTAACATGAGGAGGCTATTTTGTCCCCATGCTGAAGAGGACAAGGGCCTCAACCACACATTTTGAGGATGTGGGGTAATACAGTCCGCTTATTTTCCAGAATACTTATGAAATAAAGAGGCTTAAAATGCATGCACCACATTGATGCGTTTGTTCTATTGACATTAGATTGCAGAATTTAGCCATCATGATGCCTTCATGATTGAAGCCAATAAATATCTTTTGTCAGGTGCCACTCGGCCCAGTCATATAGAACAGTGTGCCGAAGCAGAATCTTTATCACTGTTTTTCTATTTTGTTATCTGTTAGGGTAAAAAAAATAGTGAACTTTTGTTTTGGTGGTTAGTCTTTTAGAATATATGTATGTGTGTGTGTATATGTTTTTTTGGGAGGTGGGGGGATATTTTATATGATTTTGTCTTTCAAGGGTCTTTTTAAATGTTGGGGTGTGCAGCATATGCTTGTTGCTGAACAGTTGTTGAGAGCTGTCCTTGGTACACAGCATGCCACCACATTGCACTAGAGTTTATCAAAAGCACCACACATTCCCTTTCCTATTACAGTAAAACTTAGGCCCAAAAAATTATGGTGAAGGGGTTTAAAATGAGAGGCAGAGATGCTGTGTGTGGCAGTAGTTGGGGGAGAGCAGATTCTGCACAATATAGCGGCAGTAGGGCCTCTTATTTACATCTTTGGTAGTGATTCAACATTATGGTTGCTATTGAAAGTGTAGTGCCAAATTGATGTAATCAATGAAGCCAACAGTTTCCTTGCTTTTTCCAACACCTGCAACAAATAAAATTGTTTGTGACACTTTACTAATATGTTGCAGTGGCTGCAACAAATTAATTCACAAATGCCACCAGATCAGAGATTAGAGAAATGTAGGTAATTAAGACCATTGTCATTTTGTGGTAACAGAGCCATGTCCTGTTTCAAATTTTTGGGTCATTAAATAATGTGTTTCCTTACAGGCATGCCGAAATGGGTACTATCAACATTTAGAGCACCTTTTGTTTTATGGCGCCAACACAGGGGCGCAGAATGCATCTGGAAACACTGCGCTGCACATCTGCGCCCTCTACAACCAGGTCAGTAGTGTTTGTCATTAGAAGGGGGGAGTATACATTGATTTTGTGTATACTTTCAGAACTATGGTCAGGACTAAAAGATAAAATGTTGAAAAACATCTTTTTTTTACTCAGAATTTGATGGGTGCACTTGTGTTTCACTAACTTGAGTCCCCCAATCGATTTAATGCTTTCCTTCTAATTGCAGTACAAGTAACTTCATATGTGGCATGATAACTCATCCCATGCTGTACTAGTGTCTAAAGAACTTGTGTAGGCAGGATTCAGGCGTAAGAATTTCAGGGGCATCTCAGATTCTTTGACAATTGATTTGCCTTCAAGTACTCCGTGTGTTGCTTCTGGTAGCTTCTGAGTTACATCAAGATGCTTTGAGTTGCTTTAGCTTTCACAATGACTTGTATGATGATAAAGAGAAGTTCAGACAAGGGTAAGCTTTAAAATGGTAATTAAAACAAGATGGGAGAAAGAATCAGCTTTGCAATAGTCAATGAATCAAGAAGATCAGGGTGATATAACAGAACAAAAAACAGTGAGTATGTGAAGTAACTACTAATGAATAGTTACTAATTTAAAGTGACCTTAAACTCAGGAGCTGTATCTAAACAATGCATTCCAGTACCCTATTAACAAAAATGTATCTTATTTGTGTGTCACTCGGCTGTAGATCCTCCAATCATCTCTGAATTCATCCTGACACTGTCCTTCCTTCTGGAGGGGGGCTACTTTTGTTCCCCATGGTCCCTGTGTGTGTTGTAAAGTAGCCACCGCTCCAAGCTCACTCTTGTGAGAGACTATAATTTTAATATAAAACATGAGATTGTAGTCCATCATGGGAGTGAGCTTGGAGTGGTGACTACTTTACAACACACGCAGGCACCTTGGGGAACAAAAGTAGCCATACTCCAGAAGGAAGGACAGTGTCAACACCAATTCAGAGATGATTTAAAGGAGAACTATGGGGTTAAGGCTTTTCCCCATAGTTCTCCTTAGGGTAACGGGAGGACACAAACTAGTGTCCTACCGTCACCCTAGGCTCAGTATATCGCAAGCTGTAGCTCGCGGTATACTGAGACGCCGCAGCTGAAGCAGATCCCGACAATTGTGTCGGGATCCGCCCAGCTGCGTGACGACAGCTGGCTCTGTCTATCTAGAGGCAGAGCCAGCTGTACCCGCCGTCTCCCCCGTCCCGGGAATCCAGCCAGGGGGGAATCCAGGATCGAGAGGTGAGCGAAAGCAGTTATGTGTTCGCTCACCTCCCGATCTACTGAACCGACCTGTGACAGTCTCATTGTCACAGGTCGGCTAGAACTATAAGGTGAGCGAAAAGCACTCACCTCGTAGTTCTCCTTTAAGAATCTGTTGCTGGAGTGATACACAAATAAGATACATTTTTCTTAATAGCTAGGGTACATTAATAAATTTTTAACATTTACCTGCTGAGTCTAGTGTTACTTTAATAACAGAAACTTGGCAGCAATGTGTTAATTTGGTTTGCCAATCATCATTGCCCTTCAGCATACCAGAACCACAAAGAGATGCAGACATGCCTGATTGTCACAGATCCACTTTATAGCATTAGAAATGTCTAGAAAAGCCTGGTTCTCCCTTTGTTTTATTGTACAATAGAGAGATGCAAGTGTAAATACAGCTGTCCATTTACATATGAAATGTATATTCTATTCCATATATTCAGGGGTGTTGCATTCACATGGGAAAAAATAAAGAAGATTTATTGTCTGTAGGATAACATTCCTTCCTTATAAAATGTCTCTACAGACACGGAATACAGGTGTAATATGTCTGAGAATGATTTTTGTAAGGCAAAAAACATTCCTAAACTGCCAAGACAGAATCAATGTGATAGCAGAACAGTAAGCACTAACTACCACTTGTGTGAAACGAAAAGGAATCCTAATCGGGACGAGGAAGTATTGTCCTCCTGTCTAGGTGGCATGAAGTAGACTGACAATTCTTTTTACTCTGCTAAACCACTTTGTCATAAGGTACAATGCTTTCCAGCCTGGAACAGTCTCTCTGCATATCTAGCTATCAGTAATCTTCTTTTTAAACGCTTTTATTATTTTGGTACTTCACTAGTACAGAACCAACGTATTCTGTGGTTCTGTACAGGTAGAATAATACAGGCACATCAGACCTGTGCCAAGTGAAACTGGAATTACCATTTTTTAAAGCTAACCTATCCCTTATAGAGCTGTTTAAGAACAGCCATAAAAGCTTGGGAGCAGGCACCAAAGGATGACTGAAAGTACCTTAACTAACAAGCAAGATGTCTTCCTTGCACCCAGGTAGTGCCCCTATTCTGAGCACACTCTTTATAGAGACATTAAAGAACACCTGTACTTTTACAATAAACTTCTCTAATCTACCCTTACACCTGAGCTAACTTGGTTTTCGTGGTAAACAAAGCCACCAAAGTTCCCCTGTATAAGAAGAGTACACTTTGAATAGATAGATGCAGATGAAGAGTGGCCTTTGCTATGCTCTACCATTTTTCATAGTTCATGATATGCAACTGGGGTCATAATGTGAACAAACTTCACTTCCAATCCAGATGATGTGAAGAGGAAATGGTAGACACATTCTGCATGTCTCAGTACTGGTTAGGTAGGAAGTAAAAGTGATTTATGCCCCATACCACATGAACATAATAGGTCAAGCTTAGGGAATTATGAAGAACGCCTCCCGTTTTTCACCTAACTTACAAATAAGTTTTAAAAGTAGCAAAAATCTGTGTTTAGGTCACACGGGCTGCAAAATAGCTGCAGCTGCACAGTCTGCAAAATTGGTGTGTCCACCCCTGCCTGCACTTACACCCCCTCATCCCAGCTTCTTACTTACCCCTGTACCGGAGCCACATCTTTACAATGTTTACTTCTCATCGGGGAAAATAATTATGTGTGGATGCTGTAGCTGCTTTCCAGTACAGCCCTATACAAGTCTAAGAGGTCTCAGTATACATGTGCAACCATTGCCAAAGAGGATTTTCCCCCGTGGAGGAGTAAACCTTGCACGGCTCTGGTACAGGGGTATGCAAGAAGTTGGGGTGGGGGGTTTCCTCCGTATTAGTTCAGGAGGGGTGAGAAGATGGATTAGAGAAGGTTATTATAAAAATACAATGGTCCTTTAACTTACCCTTGTTGATGCCCAACACCTCCCAAGGGACCCAGATGCATCTATTTTCTGTCAAAGGCTCACCCTTATTGGTTAATAGTGCCTTATTTCACTGCCATCCATATTGGGGTAGTCCTATTTCTGACACTGTGTTCTTGGCACTTACCTGTATTACACTCCAAGTGTCTGCTTGGCCGACTCCACTTTCTGGTCATATACAAGTTGTTTAATAAATGTTAATAGTGTTATTTCTGTGAACTGCAGTCTTCAGACTAGAAGTATTTTGATTTCTTTTTAACAATGTTCATTTCCTATTTTTTGTACAGGACAGCTGTGCACGAGTTTTGCTTTTCAGAGGAGCCAACAAGGAAATAAAAAACTACAACAGCCAGCCACCATTTCAGGTAAGAAAGCATCACATTTATTTCTAAAACAGAGTAATCTATTTCCCTTTGATATGCTTGAAAGCTTTGTAATGGAGTTGTAGCATTGACACATCTTGCTGCCATACTACCAGTTGAAATATATGTCTCTTTCGCTAAAGGCAAACGTGTTCAGCAAAACTGTGTGAGAAAAAAACAACGATGGCCAGTCTTTGCTTACCTACTGTAACTTACCGGAAAGAAAACAGATGATTTCTGTGCAGAATCACAATTTCCAATACAATATCAAAAAATAAAGGGGAGAGTTTTCTAAAACTGGGGCACACAAAATCTGGAGAATTGTAAAGTATCCACCTAAGCTTCTTCCCATGATGGACTACAATCTCATGGTTAGTTTACCATTTTGTATTGAGATTGTAGTCCATCACAGTAGTGAACTTGGAGCGGTGACTACTTTACAACACACACAGGGACCATGGGGAACATAAGTATCCACCCTCCAGAGGGAAGGACAGTGTCGGCACCAATTCAGAGATGATTGGAGGATCTACAGCTGAGTGATACACAAATAAGATAAATTTTTGTTCGGTTTAGTTAGGGTACTTGAATGTATTTATAAGGTTTAATGTCACTTTAAGTCTTCTTACAGTGGATGGAACCATTCAAATTAATTCTTTATGCCACTGTGTCCAACTTCTTATTTGGAAATGGCTATGTATGGCATGGATATAACCTAATTTTTCAGACCCATTTATTACAGCACACAGATAAAGTGAGGCTTTTATTTTTGTACCCCCTAAGCTCTACTTCTTAAAATCCAGGATTTCCAGTCTGATGAGAGCTAGACAACTTGAAAAAGCTGTGTGCAAGTTGGAGTAAAGGACTTTGTAAATTTAGTCTGTGCTGTAAACCAGTGGTTTTTGTGCACAGTTGGCCACTGGAGTACTAAAGAATGGCTATGCCTGCCTTCCTAAAATAACCCTCAGATCCTTTCTATTTTTTTTATTTTTGCTAGAAATGATGACTTAGACATAGCTACTGTACTTTAAAACCATAAAACATTAGGGGGCTGTTTCTATGGTAGCAGAGTATAGTAGCAACGATTTACAAGAATGCACTGGGAGCACAGTATGAAAGTGATAACTGAAGTTGCTTACTCAGTGCTGACTTTCATCCTCATAGTCTTGTCCTTAGTGGTACAATCAATACAGAATTGATGCCGTTTGTTTGTTTTTTGGCGTCAGTATGTATTGTCAGCTTATCAGAGTAATGATTGACAAATTATTGTACCCTAGTGAAGCTTTGTCATTTCTTCTCTGTAATGTTGTTTCTACATGCAAACTTTTTTTCAAAATAGATATTGCCTCATTCAGGACCCCAGCACAAGGCGAACCTATGTCTATGACTAGTGTAGCATTATTTAATAATGCAGGCATATGCAAATGATTTCATGATTGTATATCTATGGTGACTTTGCTGCTTTTTGTTGTCTACTAAAGAAAAACGTGGTACTGTGGCTCCTCTCCAGGTGCCTTAAAGTGGACCTTTTTTTCCCAAAATCATATTCTATCAATGCATCACTCTATGTATGATGAGTAGTAAAAACATACACATGGCAGGTGTAAAATGCTGTGAGTTTGAAATACTTACACTTGCAGAGCATTCACTTCCTGCTTTGAAAGTGTAAATTATTTCAATTTGCTAACACAATGCACACTGGGATTGCCTTGTCATCAGCAGAGCATTGCTGGGTAATCTCATCTCTAATCTCATGAGATCTCAGGGAAAGGCATTTTCCTCCCCTGAGATGATGTGCATGGTCACATGTCCTAGTCACATGTACCAGAAATCCAGGAAATAATATGAGAGCTAATAATCTGTCCTTAGTAAACATGGCCACTGTCAGAAGACTGGGGAAGAAAAGTGAAATAAGATGTGCAAAGAATACAAAGTCTTCAATTATCTAGAAGTATGTGTTTTTAGATTGTCATTACTAAACATTTCTGAAGGTGTGTTTGTTGTTATTTTTAAGATACGGGTAAAGGTTTGCTTTAAGGTTAAGTGTACAGTACATATTTGGCAGGATCAAGTGATTATCTAATGGGGCAGCTCAATACAGCCCTCAACAACCCTTCTGCCAGACAAAGCGATTGGGTAGGTTAAGGAAAAACGTTTTCCCAATAACCAACAGCGATTCAGTCTCCCTCCTTCCAACTCTCTACACAAATAGGCTATTTTTGAGATAAGTTCTACTTGAGTTTTGCTTTTCTGATGTAAGTCAAAATGATGGCTGCAGGAACGTCTGAGCTGTTGGTCACTCCAAGTAGAACAAGAAAGGGACTCCTAAATTTCATAGACTCTGAACCTATGTGTATCAAAGGCCAAAAACAAACACAATTGTATATTGCAGCCCACCAATCCTTAGATGTGGAGGCTAACTTTATTTTCTTTTTTGATAACACACTTTCTTTTCCTCGGTGGCTATGCTCATTCCCCCGCCTCCTTATTTATGATAGGAGCCTTGGTTGCCACACAGGCTGGAAAAAATAGAAAGGTTCTGAGCGTTATTTTAGGAAAGCAGGCGTAGCCATTCTTTAGTGCTCCAGTGGCCAACTGTTCAAACACACCTGCCTTTGCTCATCTTCATTACATGTGAGGTGGTGCAATTAGTAGTTTACACAAGAAACATAGCATTAGATTACCAAGTATTTTCTGTACTTCTTAGCCTGAAAAAGGAAAACTAATGCAGCACCATATCTAAGGACTGTTAAAGTACAATATATGACATTTTGTGGGTATAGTTATCCTATAATGTGTGTGCTGGTGCGAGGATCTGGTCATAACATGCAACCTGCACTCAGCACCAGTTGCGGGGCTTTGCTCTGGAAGCTGGCGACAGCTGTTCAGTGCTACTTTAGATGGCACAGCAAGTAGGAACAGTTCTATTTTGCATAGTGGCTTTTATTGTATAAATAAGCTAAATCTCACCTTTTCTCTGGCTATCCACAGCCTATTTGTAGGGAAAAATGAGTCCTATACTGGCAGCATTCTGCTATAGATGCCTGGTTTTCATTGAGACAATGCTAATAACTAGAAGTGAGCTGATTATAGATAGTTAGTGACCGTCATAGATCAGCTCCACATCTTATTTCCAGTAAATGCCCTTAGATCCAGTCAGAGCTGTCAGGAGCTTGGTGGTTAAAATTCTGATGTATACATTGAATAGTCTTAAGTACCATCTGCAGATTGAAATTTGTCTCTAATTATAAATATCCTCTTTCTGCTCTCAATGCTGGATCAAGAGCTCCTTTCCAAGGCTCGAGTGTATTCTGGTATAAGTGTACATTAAAGACGGCTATTAGCAGGTGGGAGCACGCTGTGGAATAATAAAAAGCTGTCTCTGACGTTAGCCCATCCATAACACCTGCATTCTAAAAGATAAATGTATACTTTCCCGCAGAGTGGACTGGCATCAATGAATCAAGCTGGTCTAGCGATCTCCCTTCATTCATAGTGTATGCCCAGGAAAGCAGTCCAATTATTACTTAAACATGTGACTTGGGGAGCTTATGTGCCTTTCAAGGAATGCATTTTTCCTGTTATCTCATGCTGTAAGGTTAATGGAATGGCAAATGAGTGATATTGAGCGTTTTCTGCTGTTATTATACCTAATTTAGAAGCATTAGCATATTACACATTTCTGCGTATCAGATAGAAAAGAAGCACAATTTACAAACTCCATACAATCATGTACAGATGAAACATGTATGAAGGTAAGAGAGCCTTGCCTATAGAACCTTACAATGTAATGGGGGGCCACCCACATATTGATATGTTCATTCAGTGGACTATTTCATCTGACTGAATTTATCAAATTGAATACAAATCACAAACCAGATACCCTCTGTTCAATCAATTTAGATATCAATCGGCCATGGTGGAATTTTTCTGATTGCTTCTGATCACTCGAAGAATTGTGTGTGTACAGATCGATGAAACAATAATTTTTCAATCTGCCATTTACATTTTATGAACGGTCGATTATATAGTTGATATTTTCTTTGTGGAATAATACTACCTGGTGCAGATGGATCACTTGTTTCTTTTTAAGATTGCCCATACCTAGACCGATCTCAGAACTCTGTAGGGTCTGTTTATACATCTTTTCACAGTTTTCCATTTGGATTCAATTGGGAAAGTGTGTAATTTGTATGAAAACAGTTATCTGTGTATGACCACCTTTAGCGTGGGAACATTGGATACAGGACTGTGGCTGGAGGTCATTGACTAACTTAGAGATAAAGATGGAGAGACAGCTTTGAAGACATACATTTTGAAGGACCTTTTGAAGGTGGGGGATGAGGAAAAAGAAATTTCAGACAAAGGAGAACCTCAGGTTGAGACACAGGACTTGCTGTATATGTTGTAGGTCCCTGGTATGTAGTAAAGGCATTGGATTAGTTTGACAGCAAGGCAATAAGCATTCTCAGATGGAAGTCATCAGTGACATCCTACATGTTTCTCTCAGAACAGGTTTCCTTGAAGGACCCGTTCATACCATTTCCAGTGCGTTCCGGCATGGTTCCACTATTTTTTGTGATCGCACCACACTGGAACACTGGGCATTTCTGTTCTACGCGTTCTTGTACAGGCGGGAGGCGTGTCTGTGGTGCCATTGACATGATTGGCACTACACACCCCCTCCTGTCGCAGAACAGGCAAGGCTTGCTTTATGCAATCCACTGCGTTCTAGGCATGGAACGCACTGGATTTGGTGTGAACGTGCCCTAAAAGAGAACTAAGGCTAAACCTTTTATTGACTATAGATCTTTTTTGCCCTCTATATGCTCACAGCACAGGGAAAGATCCCAATAATATTGTCAGGATCCATCCCGTTGCCTGATTGACAGCGGGCTGCCTCTCTAGAGCCAGAGCCAGCTGTGTCCGCACCCTCCCCTGTCTGTCCCTCTAATGAATGCTCAAAGAACAGAGAGAGGGGAGGAAGGAATCCCTGTGGGGAG